TGTTTGATGTAATAACATCGGCTCGAAAGCAAGAATTTTGCATCGGGTCCGGTCAATTCCGGACAGGATGCGCAGCGTACGCGAGGGGACGTGCAATTAAATCGATTTTCGCGTGCGATGTCGCTTTCACTGCGAAGCGCCAATTTCGATTCAACTGCACCGCGCCATAATGCACGGTCATTAAGGACCGGATAATTTCATAGAAAAGCGGGGTGGACCCATAGAGCAAGATTTAGCCCAACTCGAAGGCAATTTAGTGCTATTTTTTGTGACCTTAGACATAAATGTAATCGGTACTAATACTTAAACTAAAAAAAATGCTTATGCTCAACCCATCAGATACTAGTGGTGTCCGCAACGAGCCCGCCTAGCCTAGTTGTGAATATAAAGGGAACTTTCTCCCATGCAAGTAAAGTAGAGCGTTCCACTGGAGCCAAATCATCAGTTCAAGGTTATCCAGCTTATGAGGTAAAGGTGAACATGGACAGCAATCGAGCATCGTATGCCAATCTATAAACCACTGAATGCATACCTAATGAGCAACCTCATTAGGAAGATTTATGACAGCAATCACGTCATTTCTTCGATTCTGCTTTCTGCTGCCACGCAGCGAGGCCTTTTCTATCATTTCCTGACGGTTTTCCAGAATATTATGATTTATGGGCCCTAACCAATGGGAGGCCATTCCCAGACAGCGGCTCATCCGGTAGAGGACTTATAGAAATGACAGTCTTTGAGGGAAAAAGGAAAGCATTCTGCCATACCCTGCTACCACTGGACCCCGGGCATATCCTGTGTTAGAAGGCTTCAAACCACCCAAGGAACTGAGGAGTCATTCCCGAAAGTGGTAAGAGTTTCACAAATAAAATATTTAGGTGTTACCCGGGTTTCTGGGCCTACGGGCTTCTCCAGAAATTCGTTTCCAAAGTCATACATCTGGAAACAGTAACTGTACCTGTAACAGATTTCCTCGACGATTACGTGCAAGCACCTTCATCCGAGCTCTCCGTCGAACGACCATCACTACTGCAATCGCTAGGACGGCGAATATGGCAAAAGTGATCAGCACTTCTCGCGTAGACAACACAATAAATCCGCCTATAACAACCTCGATGGCTCTGTACTTTTTTGTAAATGCCGTATCAAGTAAAGTATCGTACGACTACTTGCCAACAGATCATAACTGCATTTTATTTTGCAGCACAACCCCAGTGAGGGTTTCATAAGATCTGTTCCCCAGGAAACCCCATAATTTCAAAAAATAATAACACCGCAGAAAAAGTAGAAAGTAAGAACTTGAGTCAGTAGTTCACAGTAGCAATTTCCAAAAGAAGGACGTTTCGTGAATCTGGTTCCTGTTCAGCAACATTTCAGCTGCAAGCAGAGCCATCCACTATCTTTCGGTTCTGCTAACTATTGATCTGAGTCCATTGTAGAGCTAATTTTGGACTAACAAACAAATAAACAAAAAGTAAACAGGTAACACTGAACTCTTCCAACTCTTCCGTGAATAAGCTATGTTACTATAACTTTCTCGTCTTTCTGTTTCGAGCACCAGTGCTCTTATCCTTGAGCCTTCATTTTTCTGAGACAGACAAAGCGAGGAAAAAGAGAGGTCCAAAATAGAAGGAGCGGATTATTTTAGTAAGCGAATCGGTATGAATGGTCGCACACATCAAGGAACCTCATTCTTCGAATTGATAAAACATACTCAAGCTAGTCCTCGAGGCCTGCTCTGGAAGGTTTAGAAATCTGAAGATAAACTAAGCCAATATCAAATGAGCAGTAAATGACGATTTCGAGCCCTAGTCAACGTCTTTCTATTGCTGTGTTGAAGATTGCGTGATCACTTCCCCCACACATTTTTAGCACTCTTATCGATGGAATTGGGGCAACTTCCCTTCATGGACTTTCCCCTCGTTGTGCCACAAAAACGTGCACTCGTAAGACAAGTGTGCTGGCGTCTCGGATGACGTCCGCCCGTGAGGACTGGGAGAAGTCCCAGCTTAGGAGGTAGGATTATGTAGAAGTTTTTGCACTCTACTGCCCTAGGAATTCTAGGGTATGAATAAAGAATGAAGGTAATCTGCCGCCAAAGGGTAAAGGAAAAAGAAGAACACGTAGAGTGCGATTTCTATTCTCCTCATCAAGGCCTATCATGGTTCACTTAAGGACGATGATACTTTGATGATGTTAGGATACGGTAGCTTACAATACCGAATTGCTAGAGGAATCTGAGTAAGATACCCACTCTCGACTGCCATAGCCGTTGTGGTGGTCGTGGTTGTGGTGGATGTCTGCGTGTCACCTCCTCCAACGTGTTTATTGAATCCGCCATTGTTCTGCCTACAAAATCCTCATCAGAATCGTTAGAATCAGAAAAACTTCGGAAAGAATCCTTGGCAAAAGGCTCAATAGAAGGACTTCATGACAGTCACGCCGCACCATGTCTTTCGTTCGAATTAGAGCTACTTTGGATATTTTAATTGTTATTTATATAATTGTAGAGCTAACAGACGGTTACAAAGCTGGTTACAATATGAGCAGACCAAGAAACGTGAAGGCACCAGAGAAACTCCTCATTTAAAAAACGGTATTCTGCTCACTGAAGTAATCGAAAAATCCTGCTTTCCATTCCTTCACTAAATGACATTTCTCGGGAAATTTTCTCTCTAGAGCCACCGCTTCGCCTGTTTCGTTTTTCCAGATCCCTGGGGGAACCAGCTGAATGAAGGGAAATTTCAATTTTAAGTCGATGTCGGTTCTTGATACGCTTTTTATTGTCAATGGTAGACTGAGAACAGTTGAGAGCTGACGAACTCGAAGTTAGGACACTAGACTTTGCCACAAATTCATAAATCATGTCCTCTTCTAGTATCTTATAGTTATTCTACGTTCAAAAAAGTTTCAATGAGCAATACAGTAACATTAACTAAATGAGAAACTACCTGGAGTTTGAACCCCTTCCCGGCTGGGCGGACGACCCTCGATTCCATGCCCATCTCTCCCTCCCTTGAGCGAATCATTTATAACCACCCTGAGCCGAAATCCGCTATATCATCGGCTTGGTCGTGCCTGAGGTTTTCCTCCCTTTAAAAAAAAACAAAGATATTTTAGTATTTCCCATGTCGATTACTTAGGAAGGGCCAGTTCATTGGCAAGAACTGATTTACACAGGAAACTGCACTTATACTGCTCTAATCCTGCCACCATCACATATATGAAATCAGTACTATAACCATTTCGATAAGCTGAGGAACTCAGAGCTCTCCAAAGTAATTAGATGATAAGGCATTTTAGATGTCTCAAAGATCATTAGGAAAATTAATTGGCAATTTGATGTTTTTCAAGCCAAAAAAAAGGAAGAGGAAAAGGTATTTTAGTAGAAAACCTGCCCCAAAATCAACGAAAGCATGGAGTATAAGGTTTCTACCGTACCTTGATTCAAGAGCGGCGAGAACCTTCGAAAGCTCCTCATAATCGTAGTTTTTTTCGAGGGACATGTGGAAGAAAATCGATTGGAACAAGTCACCGGAGCAAACACAAACAGAGCTGGTAGAGGTGTGATCAACTGATAAGCCATCACCCATTAAATTCTTATGTTGGAACAATTTTCAGAGCAATCCTGCACGTAGACTTATAACGAGTGTTATAAAATTGGAAGTTTTGATGAAATTTGGCCTTCTTCTTATGGATGAATAACAAAAAAAGTTCGCTTGTGATAACGAAAACATCCGTGCCATTCCCAGGTAAGTGTTCGGCATTGGCGAAAAGCGAACAACCAGACCTTTCATCTCCCCCCCCCCCCCCCCCCCCCCCC